AGTTTATCTGCCAATGTCCCCTGGGCTTCACTGGCCAACGCTGTCAGACAAACATTGACGATTGTGGAACAGACTCCAGCCCTTGTGACAATGGAGGAACGTGTGTGGATGGGATAGGCACTTTCACCTGTCAGTGTGCACTGGGGTTCTCGGGTCAAGCCTGTGAGCTGAGAAGAAGTAAGTTGGCAGTAAGAGGGAAAACTGATGTCCCAAAATATGCAATACCATCACTAGCACAGAAAGCAGAGATGGGTCCTTCAGTAGTCTTTTGTCAATATACGACAATGAATGATGTAAATAGTGCTATGCAATCCAGGTTGATTTCTTGAGCAGGGTGTGAATCAATCCAGCTTGTGAAGGTCTGTGCACATGTTCTAAGGTCATCCAGTTTCAGGTTAATTTCAGGTGGATTTGTCCTGCCCGACGTGCATTTAACACTGTATACTCAGTGTATGCCCCGAAGGCTTATGAAAAAACCCACCAGCATACTCGGGTGGGACTTGAACCCATGACCTCCTGCTTACTAGTGCAGACTCGACCTCCGAGCTTGCCAGTGTCAGCTGGCTGGTTCAAATCGAATGTAGCAGCGGATACCGCAAGCAATTAACCACCGGAGGAGGTCGTGGGTTCGAGTCCCACCCAAATACGCTTGCGGGTTTTTTACAAGCCTTCGGGGGCATACACTGAGTATACAGTGTTAAATACACGTCGGGCAGGGCAAAAAATCTCCCCGGTGCGAATCTATCTTTGAAATAATTGTTTGAGTACCCGCTGCTACATTCGATTCAAATCATATGAAGAGACCACCTTTCTCCTGTTTTCCTAACTCAACATGAAAGATTTAATGTCTGTTTTATCCACCACAAGTTGATGGAGGATGGAGTGAGTGGACTGAATGGAGTGAGTGTAGCCGGTCCTGTGAAGGTGGTACCCAGATCCGTCGCCGGTCCTGCACCAACCCCCGCCCAGCCTATGGAGGTAGCACCTGTGTAGGTCCTACCAGTGAGAGCCAACAGTGTAATACAGGACCCTGCCCAAGTAAGTGCAGTCAACATCCACCTT